CTACTATGAAAGTAGAAGTGGTTTCATATTATTTTTTTTAGCTTACGTTTGTCCAATCCAATATCCACTTTACTGGCTACATATAGTGCAGGCAGGCTTTATTTCTCTCTGTCATCCAGTCCAAAGGACTGGTATAGCAAGCTTTTCAAACCGTATTCGGCGAATAGTCTTTATCAGTAAAGTCTGGTTCATCGAAATAAAGACAATATGCTATTTTATATTTCCGGTGATCGTGTTTCTTCTTTTCTGATTTCCTGTTATAGGGCCTATATGACCACAAATAGCAAAATTCGTCGAATAAATTGAAATTATAAAAGCTTTCATGCTTTTGAAAATGTTGTTCACACGGAATTATTATTGACTTGATACACAAACCAAGTTTGATAAACCAATGCTCTCGAATTCTTATATGAGATAAGAATTCAAAACGAATTAATTAATCAATAGAAAAGTTTTCGGTATTTACCGAATTCTTCTGAAAGAAACAACAAGACATAGAGTGCAAGAGTGCTCCTGCATTGGATTTCGATGTTGACGTTCATATGCATCTTGTTCTCGTACACCCATTAACCCAGCGGTCCGTTTTCATGATCAGTCTGAAAACAGCGGCACTATTGTTAGCATACACCAGCAGTTACAACTTAAGTTTCGATGCTTCCACTCTTTCAATTCTTAGCCAGCATATTTGAATAGCTCGTTTGATAGATTAGGGACATACATCGCTTTCCTGTTCTTCAGTTTACACTTATTTTCATACAAATTTCGAGTATAACCTTTTCGGCTAGTTTCTCATGAATTTCGGTCTCTATTTTTCTCAATCTCTAAATGTATGTCACTTTCATTTACACCTCACGGTATTTTTACTATACGGCACGTCTTGCAGTGGATCACAACATTGCGAAAAAGGCAGTCTTTATTCGTCCCACTGTGGTGCCAAACAATTTTCTTTTGCAGCTGTATGTGAGGAGCTTGAAAGGATTTGTAAGTCAAGTAGAAGACCGTTGTGACTATATTCCCGGTCTTCCTTGTATTTTTTTTGCTGATGATTATTGATGTTGATGGTCTTTGGAGTGCACACACGTATGTATCACATTAGAACGTCAGAATAATGTTCTCCGTCTATGAAAAACTAACCGGGCTGCTGAAATCGGTTATTTTTTCTTTTCGGGAACGGTATCAATAATCAACAAGGCGCCGACTATTGGTATGATTTTATCAAACCAAAGTTCTTTGAGGTAATCTCATTGTCGAACAAAAACTTCTATGGCCTGCAACCTTAATAGCAGAAAACGATTTTCGAATATTTTCTTTATAATTTGATCTCCTGGAAAATTTAAAAAAAAGGGATCGAAAATTTTGAGTTAACTTTGAGAATAAAAGAGAAAATATATTTGAAAACGATTATAAATATGATTTATGCCTTTTTATACTACAGGTAAGATAAAGCACTAAATGAAAGGTTTTGGAAGAGTACAATATTAGAACATTGTTTAAAGTAAGATCTTTTAGGGTCATTCTAACCAAAGTGTATACCATCTCAGGGATATGACAATGGCCCAATTCTTCTACTGTGTTTTTGTTAAGTTGAGATCTGAAAATGTGAATCTGCAGCAGTGGGGCTTCGGTAATCATATCAAATAGCGAAGTTAATTGATTATTCAAAGGATCGTTTAATAGATTTATTTTTTCATTGATAAGACAACGGAAACATGTAAATGTACTGTCTCCTTAACATTGCATATAAAGTCCTATCAACCGTATTGTGTGAAAGACTAAAGCTCACCGTCAGCTCGCTGCACCTTACCAGTGTGGCTTTAGACCTGCTAAGTTAACCAGTGATCAGATATTCACCATGGGATAAGTCTTGGAAAAGACTCGTGAAAAGAGGATCAACACACACCACCCTTTCGCCGATTTTAAAGCAGCATTCAACAGTAAAAAAGAAGCTGTCACTATGTGCTTAAACGAACGTGTATACTGACCTCTGACAGCAATTAACGCTCCGTCAGTTCCGGGAGAACTTTTCCGACCCATTCGATTCCAAACGAGCTTTCCGACAGGGTGATTCCTTATTTTGTGACTTTTTTAACTTATTGCTGGAGAAAATAATACGATCAGTAGAGCTGAATAGAGAACCGATGATATTGACGTTATTGGCCTCAAAAACCGCTCTGTGAGTTCTGCTTTCTTCAGACTTGATTAAGAAGCAAAGCGAATGGGTCGAGGTCGTAGATAACTATTTTGATAGATTAAACTCAGAGTATATTAAATAAGTCTAGTCTATTGATGTCTGCACGCACAACTAGAGGTCGGTACGCTCTCCCAGATTCATCTACTCACCACCGAAGCTCATCTGTAAGGGAATTCACAATTCATTTTAATGATGTCAAAGTCGTTACGAAAGTTTAGTGACGACTTTTATTGAATTCACTATTCGCTATAGTCATTTTAACGAAACTGTAGTTAACTGCTCAATCACTTGTTACTTAAACGGCAAATATTTTGAAGTAGTTAGCGGCAACAACTAAAAATCTGATACTTTATTTAGTTTAAAATACAATTATATACATTGGGAAATAACCTAAATAATAAAATAAGAAAAATATGACAATTGCTTTTGAGTATTTGGCAGCAGTTTTATACCAAGTTTAGGAGTTAACGTGCCCTTCATCAGAATATATATGAATTAATTTAAATTTAGTTGAAGTTGTTACTCAGTTAACTAAATACAAAGTAAGGAGAAACAGAAAAAAAGTAGCTTTCAAGTTTTTTTTTTGTAGTCTGATGAGGAGATGTGCTGATCTCCACCACAGCTGTAATTTGTAGAATTTTTCTATGTGGTATAACAAAATATTGGTGGCCACGGTGGTCGAGTGGTTAGCATTGCGTTCTGCCATTCGGAAGGCTCGGGTTCAAATTCCCGTGCGACCAACACCCAAAAGTTATAGAAAATTAATTTCAATAATAATTTTATAAATTACGCTAAATTTTCTAATTGCGGTCGCCCTCGGCAGGGAAGATTAACCCCTCCGAGTGTATTCTGATATGACATAAAGCTCCTCATAAAAATAACATCAGCGGTTCGCAGGCTTCTTATTATAAGCCGTAGGTCCCTCCATTTTTTGGAAAAACATCAAGACGCAAAACCGCAATTTGGAGGAGGAGCTCAACCGAAAATCACTTAAGCAGTTACAATGCGCCAATTCTATATTCATTTATATATTTATTTGAACAATTTATTTTTGAAATTGATTTATTTAGGAGTTTACGATACATATATCCATGTCAGTCAATATGTCTGTTCGTCTTTTTATATTCGAACTACTCTCTCAGTTTTTGGGATATTTTTATAAAGCTTGGCACGCAGATATATTTCTTAAGTGTCGAAACGGGCCAGATCGCATCACTATAATATATATAGGATTGATTTACGATTTGATTGAGATTTTGTTTCATAAATCAGTCAAAGGAGCTCGTAGATCGTTTAATGTAAATTGAAATACAAATTGAAACTTAAAAATCGCTTCATTAATTGAAATATGTGGGGGCGTCTTGATGTTTGAACTAAAAATTAAATAAATGACCTTCAGTTTTATGTTTGAACCGGTGCAACTTTTTCTTAAGAGGTTCGAATCACTTAACCGAACCATATTGATTTTTGGATAGGTTTGAGATAAAGTTATTCGATTAATTGTTATCAGCTGATAAAGAATAATTTCACGAAACCATATTACTCAAGAATAGTTAAGTTGATTTGTAATATTCGAATTTAAAAGGTTTGAATCTGTGTTGGGACTAAGGTTCTTATTAGAGACCAACTGATACCGAAAAGATCAGTATCTTTTCCACTTTGTGAAAAGAAAATACGGTCAAGAATATCGAACCATAAAAGCATTTTTTTCGAACCAAGGCGCCGTACAACTTCAGGGAAAATTACTTATGCCATTAACTGATTTCTCACACGCCTTTTAGCATGGCTTCACTTAAACGGCAATAAAGTTTGCCATTGAAACCGAAGAACACAGGAATTATATGCTATACATTCGAATGCACTTGTCGGAGCTTTCTCAGTCCAATGCGCCACTGTGATGAGTGAGCCTTAATTTCTACGTCATATTCGTAAATCCATGTTTCGTGACCTGTTATTATAATTACTTACTTACTTATTTTACTGATGCAAATATAGCTTAGGCGATTATAGCCGAATTAATAACATTGCGACATTCGTTTCTTTTTTTCGATGTTTGGCGTCAATTGGATATACCAAGTACAGTCAGGTTCTTCTCTAGCTGGTCTTTTCAACGGGTTTCGGGTTCACCATCTCCGGGTGATCTATTTCCATCTCGAGCATCTTGAGCAGGGCGGAGAAGTGTTCCTCCATAAACCCAATATAATCTGGGCTTCGGTTACTGGATCACCTCTTTGTGTCCTATAAAAGTCTGCTCAGGTCTTGAAACATTCCGTAAGCCGACAAGGGAAATGCTCGAAAATTCTACGCCCTTGTCGGCCAGCTTCTCAATCTCTTCATGCTCACGATTTTCGGCCTCTTTCCTTTTTTGTTTGCAGATGTGTCTTGCTTCTTTTTTCAAATACCTGTTTTTTCAGTAATTCTGCATCGTCGTTAACATCTTTTAGTGACTCCTGAGCAACTTCCATCCGCTGATATTTTTAAAAGTCATTTCGTTGCATGACCCAGCTAAAATATCAACTTCATCAACCAAGATTTTCTCACTTCCTCCAAGTTTTTATCGGTTGTGGATAGGCTCAGGCATCCCGCTCGTTCGTCATCATCAATGTCTTCATTGCCTTCCTAGTGAGGCTTAAATATCTCCAAAGAGAGATTCTTTTGCTTATGTTTATTTACAAACTGAGATACCTTCGCATAAAAATTAAAGCGAACTGCGTCATAGCTAACCATACCAAAGAAAATGTTTCAGTTTTGTTTTTTTTATTGATGTTAACGATTTTTAAATGTTTAATCCAAATTTTCAATATTTCAGGTTAAAATATGGTTTCAAAATCACAGATATAAGTGCAAAAGGCAAGCTAAAGAAAAGGCGATGGCAGAGCAAAGTCAACAAAATCAGGTATATATACCTTACTTTTAACGTTTATTCCTTTTTTATTAATTTTTAACCCCTAATGCCATTCAATAAATTGCAAATGTTAGATATATATGTAAAAACCACTATAGCGATTTAATTACTTTCGTTTTTTCTAATCTTTCTTTTCTTCAGTTCTATCGAAATATCGATGCTATCGAGACAATATTACACAATATATTTTTCACATGAAATTTTTTTTAAATCTGAAATATTTTAGCTCAAAATTCAACTATCGATCCTTGAAAATACACTTTTAAGAAAATCATTTTCTCCAGTTTGCCCCGAATTCTCTAACTATTTCAATAGAGTGGTGGCGGGGATGCCATGTGAGATGATATAAACAAAAATCTTATGTCCGCATGGAAAAATTCAGTAATTTCCAAAAAATCTACAAAAGTTATCTACCGAATGATTTGAAATTTCATAAGAATGTTTCTATGATACCTGGAAAGGTTCACAAGAACTTTCGCGAAGTGGACCGGAGACTTCGAAAAAAGCTCTTATGCCGCCGATTAACGGGTGTTCTCCAAAAGTTACCAACCGAACGACTTGAAATTTCGTCAGCGGGTAGCGGGTATTCTCCAAATTTTAACGGCTGATTGACTTGAAATTTCATCAGATTGCTTTTACGAAAAATTATTTCGGGAAGTGGACTAGGGACAGTCCTATTCGAAATACTCTTAATTATAGTTCGACTTAATTAAATATATTTATTTATGGTTCGATTTTCTTGAAACTCGGTACATAGGTGTGTTTTTGCTTAAATTAACAAGAAGAACAAGTTTTTTTGCACAAATTCGGAATATATTCAAGTTCAAAGATAGAATTAAAATTTTTTTTTTTTTGGTATAATGTTTTATTGAAGCTTTCCTTTTAGGAAAATAACAATATTTTCGAAAATCTTACAGCTAATTCTTATTCTTGGAACATGTTAATCATTACCACTGTATAGATTAACAAAGTAAGCAAAGTATAATAAATTTCAAATATAACTTAGATTTATCTGAGAATGTATTTATATAGATATCATTAGTGATACCAAACACTCATGTTTAAAATTTAACAAAAGATATATCATAAAGGATAATTTGAAGTAAATTATAATATCTTGAAGGATGTATGCGGAGCACAAGTTCGGATACGGCAGAGCCTTTAGTTACAGTTCAAATGTAAATCCTTTCTCTTTAGCCGCTTAGGGTAGTTCTGGTGTTATAATTTTTTAGTGGGAAAGTTTGAGCGGTTAGAAAACCTTAATGAGTAAATTTCGAGCAGTTTCTATTTCCTTGCTGACGGTTTTAATCCCAAGATTGTTGTGAATTGTTGAGTTTGTTTACATACCATATGCCTTGCATATTGATCTTAAGGTTTTAGACTGGCTTTATAAGCATATTAAAAAGTAAAACTTGGTTTTCTAGACTTAGTTTGGACTTAGAGCCTACAATCCAATGCTAGTTCGCAATTTTCAATTTGGTTTGAGTAATCTTTTTGTCTATGTGGTTTTTCCAGGCGAGTCTTTTATCCAGTGTAACTCCCAGGTAGGTAACGAATTCTTTCTGAGGTATTGTATTCCCATTTATAGAGATTGAAAGACATGTGTATTTTTTTAGGATAAATGTTACTTGCATACCCTTAGATTTTAAATGTTCTTGTAATCTGTAACTGGCTGTCATGGGGTTTAAATGGACATTATATATTGCTGTATCATCCGCAAAAGCTGATGTGATGAGGTTTCCTTTTGTGGGAAGATCATCAAGGAACACTGCAGTGCAATAATTGCTTGTTTTCAAACGCTGATCTTTGTGCTGTGTTTTTCTCTAAGCCCGAGTTGGTGGCATGGTATGGTCTATGGTTCTAAAATCGGTTATATTTTTTTAATAAAAGTTTTTCGAAGATTTTTGAGAATACCGTAATTAAGCTTATAGGGCTGAGGAGCCCACCAAAGAGAGATCTTTACCTAGTTTGGGGATCATAATAATCTCTGAAAGCTTCCAGAGTTTAGGAAAATAGCATAGTCTCAATATACTATTAAATATACAAAGCATTTATTTAATTTCCACATTTGGAAGTTCTTTTATCATATCACCCGTTATCCTGTAGTATCCAGGAGCCTTCTTTTTCTTTATGCCATTAGCAATTATTTCTTTAAGTGATTTAAAATTAAATTGAATAAAACTTTTATCTCGATCTGCATGAAATTCTAAAAAGTTGAGTCAAGAATTTAAAGCCTTTAAACCTTGGTTGGGATACTTCGCTCAGGTGATTAGCAAATCATTTTACCTTTCCTTATCCAAGGGCGCGCTCAAGTACCGGTTCTCTGCCTGAGCGATCTCTCAATTTCTACTGATGGCGTAATGTTTTTCTCCACCACACATTGTGAATTTCTTCGAGAAGAATTCGACGTCAAAGTAGAGATAAACGTTTTTAAATCAGTCTCTACTTCACATTATAAAGCTTTCCTCTGTTTTTTCTCAGCAGCTCAGCCATTCAAGGCGGAGACTATGCTTTGAGGCTGTTGGTGGTTCGTTTTGTACTTCGGATACTCTCTGCTATTTTAAGTGTTGCTACAGTGGCCGCTATTGGAAGTAAGCAGTTGAATAAATTAATATGTCCGTTATATCAATTCTATATTACTTCGGTATCCACTTGAATGTGGGTACTAAGAACACTCACAGTCAAAATTAATTCGTACACCTTTCGGTCGTACCATGATCTTAACCCGGGCCTTTCAAAACGAATGGCAAGACTCGTAAACTCGCCCTTTACTCATGTCTCCGTCGGCCTTTGTTAACATTTTACACATTTTGCTATTCATAATTTTGTATATTCGATTTTTTAAGTAAATATTTATTCAAATTCTTTTGATTGGTTTAAAGTTCTCAATTTTTATTCAGAATTCATTAAACACTAAACTGTCACGCTGTCCTTAACTTTTTAATAAAAATCAAAGTTTTGTAGGAGATCATCAAAAAATGTTTGGCATGGTATAAAAATAGTTACGAGCTCTTAAAACAAAAACTCAATTCAGCCCTTTCGTTTTTATTTATCCGAAACGGTTTGGCCGCTCGATTTACTTGAAATTTGATTGGTAGTCTTTTGCTTAGTTTAGCAGGAATATGACTTTCGGAAGTGGACCAAGAGTCACCATGCAGATATGTGATTGACTTAGCCCATTCCATAACCCGATAGATGGTATCATTCGTTGACTTAAGCCGAAGCTTTGTTGGAAGGCATTTTTAGACGGGCGTAAAAGCCGAGCGATTCCATAGCGTGCATATTTGACATTTCAATGATAATCTTAGTTACTAGTTAGTTAGTTAGTTAGTTTAATTTAATTACACTGTTAATGTAGTATAAATGCATGTAATTAAGACGAGGCGAATTACGCTAGGTCTGCTAGTTTTATATAAATTCCTAATAATTTTTAGGTGCTCCTTACTGAGTACTACTAGTTATTATTTTCAAATCATAAATAATTTGATTTTACTGCTTATGTAGCTCTCAAAGATATGCATAGTTGAAATGAAATATATTTTTCTATTATAGACTTCAGGTTCACCTAGACGGGTTGCAGTTCCAGTACTTGTGAAGGACGGAAAGCCATGTGCTGGTAATAGCAGTATACAGTCTCATCATCCTAGCACGACTAGTAATGCTAGTAATAACAGTAATAATACCGCTAACATAAATGAAAATAACGGAACCCCGGATGTTAATACCAACATCACAAGTGGTTTAAATCTTATAACAGGAGAGACCACAAACTCTCATTCACCGGATACATCAAATTCACTTATCACCAGCTATAATGGAACGATTGTAAGCCATAATCCGATACAACAGCAATCATGCAACAATTCTTTAATGACTAACAGTTTGGCAATGGCCTATCGCAATCAGAATAATTTTATTTCAAATGGACACCAGCAACAGTGTACCGGATACCTTCCTTTACAGGGAAGAGCGTGGTAAAAGGAATAAAGAGATACAGTAAATAAAAATGTTGAAATTTATATAAAAATGTAATTTTCGATTTTTTATTAAAAAATTCACGCAATCCCTTTTAGATTTAATTTACACGAGCAAACATTACGAAACAATAAATTTTGCAACTTTTACATTACACCATTTCTTTGTTTCTTCAAGTGTAAATTATACAATAATTATTAAGCTTAACAAATGTATAGTTTTTATAGTCTTTATTTATTGGTTATAATAAATTACATAACATGAATATTATACATCTGCCAATAAATAAATAAATTAAAAAGATGTTATTAATTTTTTAATGATAAATTTTTAGATTTGAAACAATTAACATACAAATGTTACGATTAATTACAATTACGAAATTTCGAGTAAATCGAACCATGTGTATATAAGATTTAAAAGAATATATCATTTCCTTATTCGCTCCCCGGAAAAAGTTTTATAATAAAAAAAAACAAAGAAATTTGTTGATCTTTCGGACATTATTGCGATCAGACTCCTCCAAGTACTCTAAAGATGAAAAATTGTTTACATTATATTGTATTAATATAAGCCATTATTTTATATTATTAATAAACATACATTTTTATATACATGTATGTTACAAAAGACTCGCCTGCGATGCCGCTGTGTTTACTAATCAAAAATAACAAAGATAGTTGGGATCAAACTGGTAAGTCATTTCTCCGCGCGATTCACCTGCGGCATCTTTGTGTAGAAATTGATACTAAACAGTGTCACTAAAGCTTGGGGTCACGGCTAAAAGTGATGAGGCATCCCAAGTAGCTAACTGTCTACTCTTCCTAATAACCTATCAAAACTGGCGAAGCAGCACCTTTTTGCTTAAATAGAAAATGCATACAATAGTACTTGTAGAACACCCTCATTGATCAAGATCACATTTTCCCTAAACAGACTAAGTTTACCATATCAAACTTTCATCTTTGTGACGAAAGCTTTGTTCAAACCTTGAGGAAAGTATGCTCTCAACTCCTAGCCTCCCCAATTTAAAAACAAATGTAAAAAGAGCCGTAGTTGAAAAAAAATGTGTCCGATATTCCATCCAAATCTCGAAAAGCAAAAAAAAAATGGGCTCATCACGCTAGTTTTAAGGAAAGTATAACGAAAATTTCAAAATAGCAACTAGTTCAAAACACTATATTACTCTACCTAAGGAAGTTGCCTTCATCTACTGAAACAATGTAAGCCTACAAAATTCAGAAGTTATGGGAACTAGAAAAGGTTCCTAAGCCGAGAGTGACTTCTGTAGATACGAATTTATGAAATCACCACAACTCGAACAAGTTAAAGGCGTTATCTAGTTGAGCTGCCATCCGAAAAAGATGTATTAAAAAGTTTTATCATAAAACGATTTCCTCTTCACCGTCCACCTCTCCAGCCTGACTTAATGAAAATTCAATAGCTCTAGCTAGTTGGAACTGAGTGCATATAATTCGCGAAAACTTCAGAAACGCCATCTGGGAATCAAAAAGGCAAATGTGAGGGTCACATCTTCCGGAAACCCTGAAGTCATGAACGCTTCCAAACATATTAAAACACGAGGAGCAGGTAGCTCAGTTCTCTAAACAGACACGGTGGGACTCGGATCTACAGAAGGAAGGTCTGAAGAAAAGCATTTAACGCAGCTTCTGCATCGTCTGAGAAGAAGTTATGGGAAAAATGTAAGCAAAACTTAAGGGACTATAAGAAGGCTCTCAGGAAGCCAAAAAGAAGCTCTTGGAGAAGTTTCTTCAGCAATGTGGAGACAGTGTCAGAAGGGAGTAGGCTTAGGACTGACGAAACTGCACTTATTCAATTAGAGCAGTCTTTGGATATCAGGGCCAAATGGCTGTTTGCTATACTGAAAGGAGTATTCAGTCTAAACCACATACCCAAATTATGGATTGGATCGACATCCTTTCTACTTAAAACAGTGCGGTCAAAAAATACATCCTTTTCTGGACTGGGCTGGAGAGGGCTTTTAATAATATAGCGAAGCAGTTACTTCTGCCTTCACTTGTCTGATGCCTAGATGGAGGGTAGTAAAATCTGATATCGCAGGGGGGTGTCACTTAACGGGATGGCCAAGCAGTTCCCTCTGAACCTGGTATGGGTACCTGAAACATACCGGGTAATGAGATAGCGGACGAGCTTGCAAGGAAGGGCACTTCCCTGGATTTTATGGAAGTCTGGGCATGCCACTCTTCACTTGTAAGCTCAATTTAAGGCAGTTAATCGCTGAGGACATGTTCTATTCGACCGCCACGCAGAGAGGCTGGGCATAACAACCAACGATTTCTGCAGAAGTTAATGCACTTTTTATGCGAATGTCCCGCACTTTGGAGAAGTAGGTTGAGGTCTCTGCCGTAGCACCCTTCAGAGACTTGAGCGAGATATCGGGGGTAAAGATGCGCCTCTGCAAGCTCCACTCACTGGTTTGATTAGCGGGTAGGGGTTATTAGGATCCTATAAGTGTGCTGATGCCCAACAACCACTCCAACTAACCAACCAACCACGTAGACAAGATAAAAAAGATTACGAATAAATGCGAAAAGAACTTTTTTCCTGGCCAACTTACCGAACTTTTGTAAATTTTTTTTTGCATTTTATTCTAACCACACACATAACCACGTCTTAAATTTCATAGCGCCCAAATCAAAGATGTGAAATGCAAAGAACTTTACAATCTAAATTGTGTCGGTATTTAGCTCGCTGATTTAACATTTTTCGCAAATTCGGGTAATATAAAGGTTTGTGATTTGTGTGCTGGCATTGTATTATATAAAAGCAAGCAGCGCATAGCTCTGATCAAAAATTCAAATGATCAATATACAGTTTTTCCCATATTCTGATTACTACTGGATATAAGTGCGTGGTCGCAAGGATTGAAGCTATTCAAAGTCATAACAAACAAATTACTGTGCACTCACACATAACTAATTTGCACAAACTTCTTCATAAAGAGATTATTACGACGCTTAGCTTGCTTTACTCTGACGTCAAACAACATCGGTGTAGTCGCAGTAAATCTGCTGTTAAGGAATTACAAACAGTGTCTGCTGATAACCCACGCGCTGCTAAACATAAAGTCACTTAGATTGTCGCTGTCTGTACTGATGCAGCTACTTTTCTCGGTATTCTATTTCCACTGCTGCTGCTGTTTTTGTAAAGTAATCAAATGATTCTGATGCTTCCACGACTCCATGCTCTGCCAAAATCTCATCACGCGAATTTGCGCCCTTTAGAAATAAGTATTCGGCCCTCTCGTTTTTTTTTCAGAAAGAATAGTTTGTACTGTAAAGCATATCTAAATGGTAAGAGGTTTAATATTAAGGAAATTAAAAATTCGGTAAGTATTTATCATTAAAACATCATGGGAACGCGTACTAAAACCAATGATATAATTCTGTAGTATTCACGCACTGAATATATAGAATTTACTATTGTAAATGCTGTAAGAAATTATAGTCTGATATTTAGCGTATCGACTTTTTCGAAATTTCACGAGAAAATAGTCAAGGATAAATTACTATGTGATGTTTGACGCTCCATTAGCCCGCACCAGTATAGTAGTATTAGCGGCCGTTCTACCTAGCCTGTCTTTCTAGTTATTGCTTTGCATCAGTTAGGAAGGGATATCAAGTTAATGTCGTCTTATCGATTTTTGCAAGAGCTTCAATACTGTCTCGCACAGCATTTTATTATGAAAGCTAGAAAGCTAGAGTGCCATTGTATTCACTCTTCTTTTCTACCTTGGCTTAGATCCCTCCCTCTATCCCTGAAGTAGAGAATTGGAGATCTGATGTCTTCGAGGCCACTTCTGAGTTTCCTTAAGTAGTATTCTTGGTCCTTTATTGTTTCTTCTGTTTATAAATGACATAGGGACTTGCTTTTAAAACTCAAACTTCTTAATTTTTGCAAAAGATTTTAAACTATTTATTTAAACGCATTAGTTACGAGAGGGTCTTAACAATTTAGCTAATTGGATAATTTAAGGGATAATTTTCATCCAGAATATCAAACCACTTAAATGTGTTCAAAACTTACTCAGAGCTGTTATAGAAGCAGACACTGAATTGCTTATTTATAGGTATTTAAAAGCCAATCGAATCAGATGGAAACGAACTTGTGCAATCCTTGATAACAGCTTCTTTTCTAGATGTAAAACCGTCACTTGCTCTTCGATAGTCATTCTATTTATTTATGACATCATCAATGGCTTAGTGGACTGCCAAGAGCTGCTTGGTTTCCTCATGGAACTACTGTTTTTTTCGATATAATTAAAGCGAATTATTTCTACAACAACCGTTTAGAGAAAATTATTTTAAATAAAAAATAAATTAAATTTTCTAATTGCGGTCGCCCATCGGCAGGGAATGTTAACCCCTCCGAGTATATTTCTGACATGAAATAAAGGCTCCTCATAAAAAATCATCAGCCGTTCAGAGTATAGACATAGCACCCTCTATTTGTTGGCAAAAACATCACGACGAAAAACCACAAATTGGAGGAGGAAAAAATCAGCAAGAAAAAGCAGGAGCAGTTGACTAGCAAGCTCCTAATGTGGAAATGACGGTGTACTAACATGATAGCAGTTCCTTGTGCTAATAAAAATTGTGAAAATTTAATTTTTGCAACAAAGGGGTGTTTCGTGCATACCTTGAAAGATTGTTATGAGTAGAAGAGGTTAAAAAGATGCTATAAAGATATCAACTATAAAGTATGAAAATTATTAAGGTTTCTCCAATCAAATCTCATTGAAAATAATTTTTAATGATGTTTTAGAAGAATTCATACATTCACTTATACATACATAAGTGTAGGCAGCAGCAGCAACGTTACATTCGACTGCCCAAGACCTTATGTCTGTTAGGGCCACTGATCTTCCCGATCCACATCCTTCCATCTACAAGTATATTTGTAGCAGCAATAACAATATTAAATAAGTATGCATATGTAGATATTTATATGTAACTAAATTTTTGTATTGTGTACATACGTATAATTTTATTTTCAATTTTGAAATGCAGAAAATTTTTCCTACATA